GTTCATACTGAGCTGGTGCTACTCTTAAGTGAAAGACTGGAAGAATGGGAGAAATATCTTTGAAGACGATGTAAAATCCTTTCCAGTTGGTAAGATCTTTCTGTCACGGAGCGTGAAATCTCCTGTACTGGGAGTACCTCTCCTGCCAAGGCACTGTGGGATTTTCCTCTCCCTTTTGAGGACAGATTCTATGAATAGCTGTTATGTTACCTTTTCACCTGCTTCTTTGACAAATCTGAACTGAATTTAGTGTCATAATGCAGTGCTGCTCACTGTGTGCTGGAGCAGAGACCTCCAGTTACACAATCCACACGGGATTAATCTCTGCGGGATGGTGGGCTCACAAATGACTGCTGGAGTCTGCTTTGTCACCCAGTATGTATGATCCCACATCAGCCAGAGAACTAATGATATCATCAAGATTACAAATGGAAAAGCTCTGCTTCATAGCTAATGCTTGTCAGGCTGAACTGCTCGGGCCACGCAAGGAGTGTTGGGGAGGAAAAAGAATTGAGCCAAGAAAAATGATAAACAGGGGGAGCTGGGGACAGTGATACATCTTGTGCAAACCCCCAACCTTTCATTGGTTGGGCAGAGGAGATGAGAGGCTGATCAGGTTTTTTTTCCCCTGAAAACTCGAATCAGTTTTCAGCGAACTCTGCTGCCAAGGGCTGCTGGGTGTCTGCAGGGAGGTTGGCATGGGGCAGCGCTGGCACTCCGAGGGTGGCCGTGAGGATCTGCCGTGTTCCAAAGAGTGCTGTCTGCTTATTCTGCTTGTTTGCCTCCCCCTCACTGCTGCCAGGAGCTCTCAGAGGAATGAAGGATGTGAGGGAACGCTACCTCAATTCCCCCCGATGTGCCTTCTTTCCAGCTCCCTTCGAGCTGCTGCGTGTTCATCTCAGTAAATTTTGTCTTTAAATTGTCTTCTGAATGTTTAGGAGTCAACATGATCTCCCCAGATGAGTGTTTCCAGAGGCTGTCTACAAAGGAGATTTCAGAAAGTTAATTGCATGAAAGCTAATGAGGGTGTGTGTATTTTTAGTGCTGCACAGTTGGGAAGCTGACAGGGCATTCCTGCTTCACCTCATTTGGCTTTTAACAGCATGAAAACCTTTTCATCTTAGTCAGTGACTCACCCTAAGGCCACACCAAATCCTCTGGTGGAAAACCAAGGGAGTTATGCTGAGGGAAGCCCAGGGGAAGCTCTGTTCAGGACGCATCCTTTCCCTTTGGGAAAAGTCAAGCGAGCTTTTGGAGGATGGGATTTCCAGCACTGCTGCTGTCTGTGGGTAAGGGAAATGGAGAGCTCCTGAGGGATTGCCTGGTGAACCTCCTGAGAGTTTCCCTGCTGGGCTGGTTGTGGTGGCAGTGAATCAGCTCCTCTGCCTGTCTTTGAATTGTGGCACTAGAGATTCCCTTCCTAACCCAGATCCCTGCTCTGCTCTGCGGCGCTCCTGACTGGGGCAGCTGCTCCTGCCTTTTGTGCTGAATTTGAGGCCAAACTGTGGCTGAGGAAGGTCCAAGGGAACATCAAGAGAGATGTTGTGTTTATGAGATAATTGTACAAAATTCCGTGTCTGTGGGACAGATATTTACAGAGGACGCAGCTAAATAAGGGTGACCTGAAGTCTGAAACACTTTAAAGTTGCCACTTTAAAATCAGTGGAGCAAATCAAAATAATGAACCAGGAAGGTTTGTGTCCAGAGCATTCTAATAGAAATAGCATAATGTTCCTCCCCTCCCCTCTCCCCCCCCCAAATTGCATCACCCTATTGTTAAAATGAAACAAAACAGCACAATTTTAAAACTTAAAAGGAAATGTGCTGTGGGAAGTAGAGGCTATTCCAATCTGCGATGCATTTAATCAGAATGATTGGTTGTATTAGCCTAATTTTAGGAAATAGTAATCAATTTTCCCTACTCAGGACAGGATTAGCATTCATTTTGCTTAATAGGGAATAGCCTGTCGTGGGTAAGTAGTGCTTAATCAGGTATTAAATGTAAGGCAAGATGGAACCTCTGGACTTTCAATGAGGAAACTGCCAAATCAGGGTTAATTAGGAGAAGACTGAAAATGTAATGAACACTTGAAATCTTTATTTCTCTTCTCCCTATGGAACTCTCATGTTTTAAGTGTTTGTAGAAGGCTCAGAAAGGCCTCTGAAAAGGGACAGACTCCTTGAGGACTGCATGATCAGGCAGGGTTTGTGGCCTTGAGAGCAACGCAACTGTGTCAAAAGCTGAACGTTTTGCTCTCCAGAAGGTCCCAGTTCAGACCTTCATGCCCTGTAGATTTTAAGATAATAAATAAAAAGGTGTGACAGCTCAACTGTGAGAGCTGACGCCAGCCACGGTGGGTTTTAAAAGAGACTGCCTAACCTGTTTGAAGTATATTCCTTTGCCCCAAGGCATCTGGGAGAGTTACCAGTGACTTCAGGAGGGGCTTGCAGGTGCTCAGTTAGGACTTGAACAAAGGCTGGATGTCTTAGACTAGATCCAGTGGTCCCAGGATGTATTTCCCATAGCAAAATCGCTACCTGGCCCCCAGATTTGCTTATATCTTTTTTTTCCCCTCCTGTCAGCAAAGCAGCAAGTCAGGCTGTTGCATAATGTTGTAAGAGTTCTGGTAAGGTCTTGGAAGAACAAGTAAATATAAGCTGAGCTGTCAGAATTTTCCACAAGACGCTCAGCTCGCTGGCATCGCCGGGTCTCCCTGGGGGATCTCCATCGCAGCGATTCTGTTAAGTCAGGGGCAGAAAAAGGAATCACTTTGCGTTCTTTGCAACCGTCAGCCGGTTTGATATCTACCAGCTGTTCTCTTTTGCTGCCTTGTCCCAGCCCTGGACCCCTGCTCTGCCTACATCAGCCTCAACGAGCCCTGGAGGAACACGGACCACCACATCAACGGCTCGCACGGGCAGCCCACGTGCGACAGCCAGATCGACGGCGAGTGGTACCGCTTCACGGGCATGGCCGGGGACGCCATGCCCACCTTCTGCATCCCGGAGAACCACTGCGGCACCCACGCGCCCATCTGGATGAACGGCAGCCACCCGCGGGAGCGGGACGGCGTCGTGGCGCGCCAGGCCTGCGCCAGCTTCAACGGCAACTGCTGCCTCTGGAACGCCACCATCGACGTCAAGGCCTGCCCCGGCGGCTACTACGTGTACCGCCTCGCCAAGCCCAGCGTTTGCTTCCACGCCTACTGCGGCCGTAAGTGGCTCCCTTTTTCCAAACCCCCCGCGTTCCCTGGTGCCTGGCTTTGTCACCTGTCAGGCGCGGGCGGTGGCCTGTCCGCGTGGGATCGGCGAGGCGGCGCCGCCAGCGGGGATTTTCCGTGGCTGACCTGGCCCGCGGTGATTTGGTGCTCCCTGTGGGCGCCGCGGTGGTTTGTCTTGGCTTGCTGCCGAAAGTCAAAATTTGCATCCCTGACCTGCGGTGATTGAAGCAGATTGTTTCTCGGCAGCTTCAGCAGTTCGTCTTTCCCACCGTGGGCCAGGTCTGGAACTGACGGGACAAAAAACGCGGTTATTTTTTGTTGCGTGCTCAGCACTGTGTGCTGACGGTGTTCTTGTCGTGCCCTAGATTTTTATGACATCTGTGATGTGGTGGATTGCCAGGGCCCCTGCCTGGACACCAGTGACTGCACCTGTTCCCCGGGGACGACGCTGGGACCTGATGGACAGACATGCCTTGGTAAGGGTGGGAGTGACCTGTGCCAGCTACTGATGCTTTCTTTCCTTTTGTTTCATCTCTCGCTTCAAGACCCGTTGCCTTACAAAGCAGTGCAAAAACGTGAAGTGTTCCGAGAGGAGTTTTCTCCCTTGCTGCCTGGAATAGGTCTATGATTCTGTCAGGGGTTCCAAGAGACATCCCATGACTGAAACCTTTCTGGTGGCCCTGGAGCTCTGTGTACATGGAGACTAGATTTGCTTTCTGAAGGCAGCAGCTGCACTGCCAGAAGAAGAGTCTCTTTGCAAGATCCTAGCACAGTCTCCCTGTGGCGTTCAGAAAATGCTGTGCAGCCTGTCATTAGATGCTCCGTTGAATACCTCTTTCCTCCTCCAAAAACACTCGTTTTCCTGGGCTGCACACTGAGCTCCACCATGATTCTTGCCCTTTTGGGACATCTTGCATGGCCTGGGGCTTTGAGGAGAGCCAAACTATTGTAAGTCCCAGCACAGCTGCAGTGGTTTTAGGCAGCACGTCAGGGGGATGTTCAGGGGGTTGGCACTTGGTGACAGAGACTGGCACAGGCAGCAGGGAGGTAGAGGGTTGTAAATGAGAGCCAGGTGGGGAATGTGGGCTTTGGGGGTTTGGGAGGGAATCCCCATGGCCCTCTGAAGGAGAGCACGGCTGTGGTCGTGTGTGTGGTGCTGGGAGGAGAGCACCTGGACTGGGAGGGCAGGGAGAAGATGGTCTGTGGGGGAAAGCAAGGGGCTGGGAAGGGGTGGCCACTGGGGAGCTGCAGAGCCATGCTGGTGGATAAGAAGAGGTAAGGTGGAGGGAGGAGGAAGGGGTGCCAGTGTGTGGGGGAGGTGGGATCTCATCTTTGTGGCCTGATTTGGTGGTGAAGCTGAAAGCAGAGTTAATCCAGGAGGCTGTGTGGCACATCAGTCTCTTCCATCCTGACTACAGCTGACAAAGCAGGTGTGGGTGGTTTCTTCACGCTCCTCGTGTCTGTGGGCATCAGGGTAGGGGCCACAGTCATGCCAAGTCTGTGGAGAGAGCAGCCTGGCCCTGCTGCAGAGCTGCTCTTGCTCACACTGATTCTGTGGAAGGGTTTTGCTCAAGCATCTCCACATCTCTGCAGCCAAGCGGCTGACTTAGCTCTCTCCGGTAATTAAAAGCATTTATCGGCTGCTTCTGTTCAAGACTTCCAGTCACAGGAGTGCCCTTGACAAGCCCCAGCACTCAATAAACGCGTGGCAGGCTCAGAGGAGAGGATTTCCCGCAGCAGAGAGGGAGGCTCGCAGGAGCCTGAGCCTGTCTGCGTGTGCTGCAGCTGCCTTCACCCCGCCATGTCCAGGCTGGGCAGGATTTCTGCACTGCTGCTTCTGCCCATGATTCCCAGATGGCACGACACCTCAGCTGGAATGATCACGCTGGTTCACCAGCCTGCAGCCTCTCTTGTGTGGCTCACTCGTCTCTCTAATGACTTTCCGTTGCGCTGAGTAATTGTGCAATCACATCTCTCAGAGCAGCTGTGCCAGCCTTCCAGAGAAACTAAATAAATCCCTGTTAGGCTTTCCTAAATGGAGAATATGCTTCTTTTCCTAGCTCCCCCCTTAAAAGGGGGACTGAAGATGCTGCAGTAATGCAGCAGAGAGGCTGTGGATGCCCCATCCCTGGAAGTGTCCAAGGCCAGGTTGGATGGGGCTCAGAGCAACCTGGGCTAGTGGGACGTGTCCCTGCCCATGGAAGGGAGGTGGAATGAGATGAGCTTTAAGGACCCTTCCACCCCAAACTGTTCCGTGAATGTTAGACAGCTCTGTGAACCTCCCTGTGCTCCTCAGTACTCCTCCATGCTTTGAATCCCAGAGTAGAGCTGCTGATCCTCAGCTACATTTTCATTTGCAAGCTTAGGGGTTAGGCAAGGTCTCGGACTTCCTGTCACACATCCACCAACTCGGCGCCTTTGACCTCATGAATACTTGGATCCATGTTCTACTAAGCCATGGATAAAATCAGCTCAGTGCCCTCCCAGTCCAGTCTCGAGACAACTAGAAGTGCAGGTTGTCGCTGGTGTGGAAGAGCAGGGACAGATCTGTGTGTTGTAGAACTTGAGGGACCGGCAAGGGCGATTCTTGGGTGCAGCCCTTGACCAGGACAAGCTCTAGGCCCTTCTAACAGCATCTCCGTGCCTTTGCCAGTAGCCCTTTCCCTCTTCACCTTCTGTTTTTAAGCAGCTTTAGTTTTATTTTTAGAAGGGAAAGTGTGGAGCCTGTCACATATGCGAAAAGCAGAGTGTGTGTGTGTGTGTCTCCTGGACATGCTTCCTGCCTCCCAAAGCAGGGGAGCAGCCAATTCTTTGGCTAAAAATACTCAATTCACGTCGCTTGTGGAAGGAGACACCACCACCAGCTGCAAGCTGTGGGCACTGTGAGTGTGTGGGACCACTGATACCTAAGAAAGCTCCTCTCTGACCTGTCTCTTAAAAAAAGTATCTTGCTTTTTTTCTCAATTTAAGCTTCTGACATCTAGTAAATGCCAGCTTCGAAGCTGTTTTGATAAAACCCCGTGTGAACCTTGATTGATAACCTCAGCATCCTGGCCTGCCTAAGAGAAATTGTTAATTTTGTGGCTCAACAACAGCAATGTCTATCCCTTCCTCTGATTCATGTTTTGCACACAGAGATGAAATTGGGTTGAAGAATGAGAATCTCAGATAAAAAGTACCTTTCGAAAAAAAAATAAATAAATAAAGCAGACAGACACAGAGAAACGTTAGCCTTTAAAGCAGGATTAGCAGGAGTTTTCAGAGCTCTACCAGGAGACTCAAAAGCTACTGTCAGTGGGATTACTCATTACATTCCAGAGCTCAAGAAGTGTTTGGGCAACGCTCTCAGGGCACATGGTGGGATAGCTGGGGTTGTCCTGTGCAGGGCCTGGAGTTGGAGTCGATGATCCTTGGGGGTCCCTTCCAGTTCCAGATCGTGTCCTGTGATCTGATCTCTGCTGCCCTGATCCAGTTCAGGAGGCCAGGAAAGCCAGTCTGACCAGTGCTCCCACGAGCCAGCTGTGCGTTTACTGAGGGCACGTTCTGACAGTGGTTTGGGT